GCAGTCTTCGAGTTCAACAACCTGAGAGTTCACACCCTGGGTGAGCTTCGGCCTCAGACCCGATAGAGTCGGAGGTGAAGTACACCTTGAGGCTGAAGCGGGACTTCAACCAGCAGGGAATGAGACTCTTCTTTATCATGGGCCGTGTGCGCAGAGTGATCAGCGAGGCCCTGGGGGGGCAGGTACGCACGCGGCCTGAACGGGTTCGGAAGGGGCCATACACGCGCTGCTCAACGCGGAGTGCCCGACGATGCCGGTGCAGATCAAGCTGGAGGGTGATGAAGTGCAATATGCGGTTCATGAGCAGGGCTTAGGTAGCTTCGGCATCCAGGAGGCGATTCCTGCGGCGCTAGCTGCCCTCACTGTGTCCTTTTAACTCGCCCTCATGCGGCGTTGGCGGTCAATCAGAGACGCGAGCCGAGGCCGGGCGATGAAGTAGGCGATGGCGGCAGGATTAGTCGGCACGTCCACGCTGTTGCTGCTTCGCGCTGTGCTTTGTTAGATAGCGGGTTGGCGGCGGGGTCTCCTGGACCCCTGGAGGGTCAACTTCCCCCCCTGCCGCTAGCTCGCCCCCCCTGGAACCCTCCAGGACTTCTGATAAATCCTTGCAGCCTTCGTTTCGGAATATTGGCCTACGGATTCTGTCTTTGGCGGGCCCAGCGGGGCGTCCCGACGTTCCCCTGCGTCGCCTCGTAATGTCCACCCTTCTTTGCGACGGTATGCACTTGGAACGCGAATGGGCCATTTGGGAGGTTTCGGAGTGGGAATTTTATTTATTCACGGATATATGGTTACGCTCTGGGTCTTTGTTCCAGATATGATGTTGTGCGTCTGCAAGAGTGTCGCGGACATGTACGGGGATGTGGTTGCATTGCTTCATCGGTTGAAATACGCGGCGATTGGGGCCAGCTTTGTCGATATCAACGCGGCAGGGGGAGTTGTCACCATCATCAGTGAGCGCCCCAGGAGAGAGCCCACTAGTATTTCACAGCAGCGCACGGCGGGCGGGGGGGATCATTGCCGCCAGGATGGAGAAAAGGACGGGGTCGATGACGATGATGAATTGCCATCTGCCCAAGACGAATTTGGGCACGCCTATCAACGCTGCCTGTTTGCGCAGAGTCCGCGACAGTTTGCCGCGCGTCGCCCGCTCTCTCGACCTGATTGCGCGGATCTGGAACTTCACCTTGCGCGGGGGGGGGGGGGGGGGGGCGGGCGACTGAAGATGGGCAGCGGTGGGGCGAGGGGGGCGGGGTGCATCGCGGGCTCTTTGATTCTCTGCGTGCCGACTGGCTTGAATATGCGCAGCATGAACCGACGCCGCTTGAGGGGGGGGGGGGGGGGCGCTGTCCGCTCGACCCGATGCGCAGCTAGGTTGGGCAGGGTGCATGCTGATGCGCCGTCGGCGGCGCTGGCGGATGTGACTGCGCATGCCTCGGTCCACGGCTCGCTCCAACGCTGCCCGTCAGATCACAGGCCGTTGGCCGTCGTTCTGGAGGCAGCCAGCCCAAGGAGGAGTCGTTGCATCCCTGCGTGGCTGTGCCGCGCGGGCGAGCATCGCCGAGCGGCGTCGGATATTTTGCTGCCATTTCGAGTGATCTGCCACCGACCACGCGGCGTGCATTCGCTAGCCGAGACACGTCTGGGAGAGCTCGCTGCGGGAGTCAGGGGGGGGGGGGGGCGCGGGCGGCCTGTAAGGGGGCCTCAGGGACGGCACTTTTGGATCATGAATGCCATTGGGGGGGGGGGGGGGGGGGGGGGGGGGGTACGGCTTGGGCAATTCGTGCGATGTGCACATTGCGTTCGTTGCGGATCCTGCCGCACTGCGATTCTTTGAGGAGGAACGGATGTGCCGCGCGGACCTGGATGGGGTTTCGCCAGCATTCCAGCCAGTTGCAGCTCGAGCGCGCTGCTACCCAGGAGAGGGAGATTGAGCGGGGGGAGACGCCGGGCACTACGGAGGAGGAGGAGGCTGCACGAGAACTCCTGAAGAGCAAGCTGCGACGAACGCGGCAGTTCTGGCAGCAGTTCAAAAGACGCTTTTGTCTCGATGGAGTGCGGGGCCATGATGGCAATGCGCATGCGTCGACGGATGCTGCCAGCCATGCGTTTGCGGAACATTGGGGTCGGATCGTTCGGTGGGTGCAGGAGGATCGGACGTTTTGGCGTGGAATTCTTGAACACTGTCAGCAAGTTGTGGGGCTTGAGCCCAGATGCCACCCATAGCGGCGGCTTGCGTTCGAGGAGTTTGGCCGTGAGATTCGGAGGGGGAGGGGCGCTGCCCCTGGCAAGGGTGGGGTGTCACATGCTGGTTGGCAGGTGGGGGAAGGGATTCAGCTGCCTCACGATGTGCACACTGAGTTTGCTTGACAGTGGGGGCGAGACGCCCCCAGCAAGCATGCGCGAGGTGCTGTTTTTGTTTTGCCAAGAGGTGCTTGTGCCGAGGGCAGAGCAAGCGGCGCTGCCCGAGCTCTTGGGGCCACGCGGCCTTCAGCCTTACGCAGGCGCCAAGGTCGCGTCATTGGCCTTCGAGGCGCCGCTTGGTGCCATTGCGCCGCGCGCAGTTCATGTGGATCAACGGGGGCGGGCGAGTGGTCGGTCGATCGCGTCCAACATCGCGATTGCAGACAGGTGCGCGTGCGGGGGGAGGGGGGGGGGGCGGGGGGCGCAGCAACATGTGGGTGGTTGCCAGAACGGTGTTCAGCTACTTACGGACTTTGCGGCAGCGCCTTCTTCGACCCACATTGCCTGGGCCCCGGGGGTGCTCGAGTGCATGGGCGCCCCTGAGCAGATCAGGTTTGTCTTTGCGCTCTGCGCGCCGACAATAGCAGAACCATTTTTTTTTTTTTGGGGGGGGGGGTGATTTCTGAACATGCGATTGAGGTTGAGAGGGGAGGTCGACGTGGTGACCCGTCGAGTATGCGCCTGTTTGCCCTGGCGACAGATCTAGTCCCACTGTGGCTCGTGTGGAAGGGCATTCAGCACATGGACGGGATGCTTGTGTATTGTGATGGCATTATTTCCTTTATCCCTAATGCCGAGTGTGGACTTGGGCAGATTTTGGGGTTCCCTGGGGGTCTGGAGGGCGCGGTTGGTTTGCACCTCAACCTTCGGAAATGCGTTGTGCTAGTGGTGGTGGGGTGGGTGAGCGCTTCTCCGGAGGCCATCGCTACCTTCGCGTGCCGATTTGGAGCCAGTTCTGGGCACATGGTGGTTGCGCGTGCGGTCAAACATCTGGGGGTGATGATCGGGCCTGAGGGCCCAGCCAGAGCTTGGGACGAGACGATCCCCAAGCCGCTGGGTAGGACGATGGCAGTGCGGCATGATGGGCTTGGCCATGCGCTGCGTTGAGCTTGCGCATGTGTCATGTCATCTGCCTGTCTCTCCTGCAGTACATCCTCCAATGTTGTGCCCCATCTCGAGCGCTCCACGTCGCCTATCGGCGTTGCGCCCAATCTCTGACGAATGGGCCGTAAAAGTGCCATGCCCACGGAGTTGTTTGACGGCCATACCATGCGTGGTGATGGGTCAGTTTGAAGCGCCCACCGTATGTGAGTATTGCGGCGCGTGCACGGTGCGCGGCACACTGCCCCGAGCATCCTGCAGAGCTTGGGCAGCTGCGAGTTTTTATTCGCTCAGATGAATGCTGTATTGTACGAGGGATGAGTCGATGGTGGAAGGAATGTTTCCCTTACAAGATTGGGTAAGCCAGGGGGAGGATGATGTCTGTTTTATGATCTGCCACCACACTCGCCGAGAAAAGCAACGTAGCGCACATGTGTCGCTGTTCTGTTCAGGATGCATCGTCGTCCTGGTCGCAGTGTATTCGAGAGCCTGAAAGCCCGTATTCACCGGTGGTTTCCCGAAGTAATCATTGATGATTTTGCCAACATGTTGTATCGCCTTCAGTGTGTGAGTCGTGTTGCGAGCCTTTACTTTGCGATGGCACAAGTACGGTTTGCTTGTCGGGGACTGTGTGCAGCACCGCGTTTCAAGACTGGGTGAGGAGGTGCACGTTCGGGCGCCGAGGCAACCAGGCCAGAGACTGCCTCAGACACTACTCAGTCTGCCCTCAGCTTCCTCACGCACTGCCCTCAGGCATGATTGGGTGTCCTACCTCCTTTTTTTGGACACCTCGCTTCAGTCAGGAAACCGGCGTCAGGTTTGCATCAGTACGTGATGCGCTGTAGTTCGCGTATAATGCCTGGAGGGGTGGTGCCAGTGCTGCTCCGAAGTTGCTGTTTGAGGGCAGGCTGACAGTTCACTGCCGGTTGCATCCTGCGGTGCAGGCCACCTGGAACCAGACACCAGAGGTCGGGCAGGTTGGTGGCGGATGTGGCAGCGGATGAAACAGACCGCGAGCGCCACCCAGCCTTGCCCCAGAGCACAACCTCTCGGTTGTGAAACTTTGTTTTGGTTTTCTGGCCACCGCTGGGGAGGTGATGGAGGGGGGGGGGAAAACAAACAAAAGCTAAAAAAAACGCCGGACCTCCCAACTGGAACGCGTCTCCTCCTCCTCCTCCTCCTCCTCCTCCTCCTCCTCCTCCTCCTCCTCCTCCTCTCCTCCTCCCCTCCTCCTCCTCCTCCTCCTCCTCCTCCTCCTCCTCCTCCTCCTCCTCCTCCTCCTCCTCCCCGTCCAACTTCCCCCTCCTCCCTCTACCTCCACCTCTCTGTCCTCTTCCTCCTCCTTTTCCTCCTTTTCCTGCTCATCCGCCTCCTCCTCCTCCTCCTGTCCCTCGTCCTGTTCCTCTTCCTCCTCCTCCTCAACTTCCTCCTCTTCAACCTCCTCCCCAACCTCCTCCACAATCGTACCAATCTTTGAAAATTCATTGGCTAGCGTTCGACGTCCTGCTGGCAGCTTGTGTTGCGCCCTGCTGATTGTAGTATTCGTCTTCCCTGCGTTTGACTTTTTAGCCCACGTCCAAGGTTATTTTCCTCCTTTTCTCCCCCCCATCCCCCCCCTCTCTCCTCCACCCTCCCTCGCTGGCGGCCCCCGCAAGGATTGTCGGCGCAATGTGGTCTCCGCACTCCTGACCGGAGGGGCGCGATCGCTCGAAGCCCTATTTTGCACCATTCCCCGTTCGCCAGTGGCGACGTCCGTCGGTCGTCATTGTCGTCGTCGTCGTCGTCGTCGTCGTCGTCGTCGTCGTCGTCATCGTCGTCGTCGTATTTGCCGCCGCTGCCGCGTTGCCGACGGCGCAGGCGACGGGGACGTCGGAGAGCAGGTTCGAGGTGCGGGGATCTGCGCATCGGGGATCTTGGGATCGAGACCCGAGGTACGACGGTCGAGGTCTGAGGAGGCGTCCCGGGCAAGAGGAAGAAACGAAGGAGGAGGAGGAGCAGGATCAAGAGGAGGAGGAGGAGGAGGAGGAGGAGAGCAGCAGCAGCAGGGTCAGGAGGTGGCTGGCGAGGAGAGAGGGGGGGGAAGGGTGAAGGAAGTGGAGGACGAAGAGGGAGACGGAGGCGGAGGAGAAGGCGGAGGAGGAGGAGGAGGAGGAGGAGAAGCGAAAGGAGAGAGGATTGAGGCACGCTAGGTGCGCGCGTTCACGCCATATCTGACATCGTACCTGCAGGTGGCTTCGAGTGTGGGGCCCCCGCCCCACCTTTCCTCACCCGAGGCAAGCCAAAATGCTGCAGCACAGACTCAACACGCACGGTCCACATCTAGGCCCAACTGGGCCTCCAGTATTCATCTAGAAGGGGGCCCGCTAGGGCCGCATGTGTCTACACAGTCACTACGATTAGCACTGATCAAAAACACAAATCGTGCGTCATTGAGGCTGGTGACCCTGACGGCCTCAGAAATCCTCAAACGTCTCATCCCTGCTCGGCTCACGTGGCTAGCGGCCTGGCCGCTGCGGGCCGACACATGCTCCGGCCTCTCCAGTCTCGCTCTGCATGTCCATACTCTCTTCCATTTCTGGCACGGTCTCGAGCGGAGGGACCGCCGGAGTTCTGACCTCCCTGATCATCGTCTTGATGAGCCGCCTCCGCTGGTCCACGACTTCTTGGTGCTCCTGGTACTCCTCTTCGCACAGGTTCTCGATGGCAGTCCTGAACTCCTGATTGTCCGGCAGCTTCGAAGTGATGATACTCCACATCTCCGAATCGGACGCACCTGGGTCCTCGTATCCGTGTGCCGGCGGTATCTTCAGACTTGAGTTCACGTCGTGCATGCCGTCCAACAACTGCGGCTCTCTGTTCTTCAGGAGAACTGCGTACGCTGCGTCCGACGGGCTCGTGGGCGTCAGCATACTCTTCGTCTTGTTGTAGCGACGCTCGCACTCGCCGAGCGTGCAGGGGCTGGTCACCACCTTGTACGTCGTCCGTGTGTAGCGGACTGGTTCCGCTCGTATGCTCTCGTAGAGGCTCCTCGACTCGATCACTGACAGCTGACTCTCGAACTTTACCATCGCGGCAGTGGCCCTTGGAATCGCTACTGGTGTTCGCTCTGCTGGATTCCTGCTTAGACCGAGCCGAAAGTAGCTGACGACGGATCCGTTCCCGAGCTGCTGCTGCCATCACCACTGGCTCATCTGCTATTTGATATTCTCCACTCGTCATCGTAGCTCTCATCATGTCGGCAGGTTCAGCCTTGTCTTTAGTATGTCAGCCAACTGTAGGGCCGATGGTACCCACCGATAGCACAACCCAAGACGACAAACACTCTCTTTCGTAATCACTAAATCGACAGCAACCCGCTTATCAGCACACGACCCCGCACTCCCACACCCCACGATATGATCACACAGCGACTTGCAATCGGTGACGGCGATCGGGGTCAGGAGTGGGAGACATTCTGCCCGACGACGAAGACAGAATTCACTGTTACTTCCCTCTAATAGTAGACAAGATGCCCATTCCAGATGCCCGAGACCGTCCATTTGTGATTGAGTTTCTGCGGCTAGGGGCGACGACGTCACACGACGCAGACGGTAACTCTTCCAGACCAAGGGACTCCAGGGGCTCAGCTCGTTTTGTAGCATCCTCTCGCCCGTGGCTGCAATGACGTATCCAGCCTGTGTCCCCGACCTCGACGCATTCTGATTGGACGCGTCAGCGTGCATGATGACCCTCAATCTATCCATGGGAATAGCCTTGATCTTCCACGCAAGGTTTGAGAACTGTTTAGCTCGACGGACGATAGTGTTGCCGTGTCTCACATCACCGACGGTCGGTCTCGGCAGACATTGTTGACTCATGGACACCTCCACTGCTAGATCAGGTCTAGATTCTCGAGCTAGCCAGTTCCCGCTCCCAAGCATGGCTCTGAAGTTCGCAATCTCCTTGTCGGTAGCCGGGGTCCCTGGGGAGGCTCGAGGTCTAACTCCTGCAGGTTTCATGCTTTCAGCGAGCTCCTTTTGAGACACGGTGATTTCCCTGGTCCTGGGATCTTGGCAGATGTTTGAACCACAGAACTTGCCCTCATTGATCTTCCACTTCGGAATCGGAAACTGAGACCTGAGGTACTTGAGAAAGGCATCATACTTACTACCTTTTCCACCAGTCAGGATATCGTCCACGTGCGTGGCGATGAGACCGCACAGCCTGCGGCCCTCGAAAAGGAAGAACATGCACGGGTCCAGCTTCGACTTTCTCCAGCCCTCACTTTTCCCAGTCGGCAGCCAGTCAAGGATCGCATTCTTGAACTTTCCCCACCATTGCGCTGGGGCATCGTTGAAGCCGTAGATCGGCCTGGTCACCTTCAGCAGCTGGTCTGGATGCATCCCAGGCAGACCCCCTCGAGGCTGTCGCAGATAGAGGGCGCCACCTTCGCGCTGGATCGGGTCGGCCTCCAGGAGCGCACCCTCCACGTCGCCGATCTGGACCTGGAAGCCGTGGGGCGCCAGCAACTGATATGCCACCACTTTTCCGTTCTGAGATAACGTGGGAGAGGGCGTCTTGTTCTCTCGCACCAGCGTCGTCAGGTCGGGGTCCAGGTATCCTTGACTGCACAGGCGCGCCTTGACGATCTCCGAGTCAGTGTCGTCGATCTTGCTAGTCAAGATCATCCTGCTCCCCACAATCCGCTCTGGTGTGGTCCGTCGCACCTCGTCTGACTTCATTCGATTCAGCGGCTCTAGCGCCTGCCTCACCTCGATCAGATTTGTCATCTCCTTCGTCACACCTGCCAGGATCTTCTTCTCACCCTCCGTGCTCAGCCACTTCGGGTCCTTCCGATTTATTTCGCGACGACCTCCAGCCAGTAGAGCGTCCTCAAGTTCTTCCTCTGGCTCTGGATTCACGTACAGCACTCTGAGCTCCTCGTCGTCTTCCTCCGCAGTGATCACCACCAGGGAGTCCTGTTCCTCTGTAATACGTGGTAGTTTCGAAGGCGGCTCCTTGTCGATCTGATCCTCCTGCTTGTACGCCTTGGTCGGCCCGATCATCTCATTCGACACTGTCCTCTTGCCGACGTTGCGGCGTCTCACAGTATCTTGGTCCTGCTCCTGTAGGATCTCCTCCTGACCGGTGACTTGCTCATCCTCGTTCTGAACCTCGTCTTCCGCCTGTCCATCGTCAGCACCATGTTCAGACGCCGGCCCCTCTGTTTCCTGCTGCTGAGCAGAATCGGAACCTGGTGCCTGCCGTGCTCCACCTTCTCCGCCAGGAGGCCGTTCATCAGCCGTGATGTCTATGAAACCTCGCTGCGGACCCTGACCGTCCATGAACTCCTTCGCCAGTGCACGAAGTTCAGGTTGAACGTCCTCTCCAGCCGGCTTCTCCACAGGTGTGGCCAGGCGCAGCTGCTCAGGGGCGGCTTTGATCACCACGCCATGCATGGCCACCCAGTAGTCATCCTTCACCGGTCCCAGAACGACAGCCGATCCTCGCCAGCGGGCGTGAACCTTTTTACCCGGGATGCCACGTCCACGTCGCCACACAGCAACACGATCACCTGGTTGAAAGACGCGGCCAGCCCTGGGTCGGCTGTCCAGCTCAACGCGAGCGGTTCGGTTGTCCATGTACTCAATCACGGCCTGACGAGCACATTGGCGGCGCTTCTCCATCTCGGTAAACGGCTCGTCGTGCAAGGCTGCGCTGTTGGCCACCACATTCGGCATCTCCTGCATCAGGTCGGTCGGCACCTCCGGATTTCGGCCCAGAGCAATCTGGCATGGTGAGTGTCCGTGAACATGCAGGAGAGAGTTTTTGGCCATCACCACTGCTCTGACACACTCCGTCCAGCCATCCTTGTCCGTTGGAGTGTTCTGGTCCAGCACTCTGTTGAGGATATCCTCGAACCAGCCACCGTGGCGTCCGACGTGACCTGCTTGTTCGCGACCCTCATCGGCCGTGTCCATCACCTCAATGCCTTGCTTCTCGAAAGAGTCGATGATTTCCTGCCCGAGGTTTATCCTCCCCACGTCGCACTTCAGGAACTTGGGCGGCCCGTAGAACATGCTCCAGCTGGTCTCGAAGATCTCCTTCAGCGCCCTTCCCGTTTCCTGCTCGAAGAAGGGGGTCATCCGCTGAAGACCACTGCTCGGGCACACCACGTTCAGAGCCTTGATCTTCATGCCCGTCTTCCAGCTGGGAAGTTCCTTCACGTCCATCTCCACCAGTCTCAATGGCGCCACCTTGGACGGAACCTTCACCTGCCGGGAGGACTTAGGAAGCCTCCGTCCCTCGCAGACCGAGCATGAAAACCTCCGAGCCATCGCCATTACCATCTCGCTGGCCTTCGCGTGCTTCAGGGTGCGCACCATGTCCTCGTTGTCTGGATGTCCCAGATTCGCGTGAAGCCTGCGCAGTGACGATTCCAGTGACAGCTTCCTTCTCTTCACGATCTCGGGATCCTCCGTCGCTGAGAGCACCTCCGTGTAATGCCTGATGTCGTCCACCTCCAGCTGGCACAGCATCGCCTCTGCGATCCTCCTGCTCAGCCCCGTCGGGTACTCCTCGGAATATTCGCTTCTCCTGATGCCTGGTATGCGGTCCCAGCACCGTTGATGTTCGTGTTTCCGACGGCATCGCAACTCCCGCATCACCCACTTCAGCGAGCCCGCGTTGGTTGCGAGGCACCACTCCTT